GCAATTAAGTTACCAATTACCGCATTTTAGTTACCAATTACCGCAATTAAGTTACCAAATACCGCAATTTAGTTACCAATTACCGCAGCTATGTTACCAACTACCGCAACAAAATTAGCCTTAACGTTAAAGTATTTGCGGTGATTGGTGACAGGTTACCAATTACCGTAACGGAGTTACCAAATACCGCAACAACGTTACCAAATACCACAATAACGTTACCGAATACCGCAATTACGTATCCAAATACCGCAATTTAGTTACCAAATACCGCAATTTAGTTACCAATTACCGCTAAAGTATTTGCGGTGATTGGTTACAGGTTACCAATTACCGTAAAGAAAGTTACCAGATACCGTAATAACGTTACCAAATACCGCAATAACGTTACCTAATACCGCAATTGCGTATCTAAATACCGCAATTACGTATCCAAATACCGCAATTAAGTTGCCAAATACCGCAACAAAGTTACCAAACACCGCAACAAAGTTACCCTTTACCGTTTATTTGTTTGCGGTGATTGGTTACAAAGTTACCAATTACCGTAAAGAAAGTTACCAAATACCGCTACAAAGTTACCATTCACCGTGCATGTTTTTGCGGTGTTTGTTTTCAAAGTTACCAAATACCGTATAGAAAGTTGACAAAAACTATCAAAATTGTGCTAAATTCTGAGTATTTGGTGTCCAATTTTAGGTATTTACACCATATTTGATGATCGAAAGTTAAAATCAAAGTAACATGTTTGCAATTTCAGGAAAGTGATTCCTCGTCTGATCCGGATATTATTGATAGTACACCAAGATTAACAAGGTGGAAGACAATACCGAAATTAAATGTTTGTTTCCCATTCTCAAAGAGGAAGACAATAAGTCCAAAGACAGTAACTACAGATGCAACACAGAATAAGAAAAAACGTGGCTTAGCTGTAGCTGAAAAAACTCACCCCCAAAAACCACCGGTTCTCAGAAAGGCATCAACCAGTAGTGAGTCTGCATATAACCCGTTCGACGATACGGACACGGAAGATACAGATCAGATCACTAGCTGTGATCAAGTAGCACCGACACAGATTGCAAGGTCTAAGAAGAAAGCAAAAGATCATTCACAGTCAACTGAGAAAAAGAGAAAAAGACATCCAGATACTTCAGACGGGGAGGATGCAAGTGCAAGTTCACAACCAGAAAGTAAAAGGAGAAGAAAAGAAATTCCGAGTCAGAAAAAGACAAAAACACCACGGGGATTAGCACTTGCAAAGAATTCTAAGCCAAAAAAACAACAAACCACACCCAGTGAAAAAGAGACCAAACGAGTGCGTGAGCCTCAAAGTTGTCCTCACTGTCGAAAAAGTGTTATTAACATATGGAGACATTTGAAGGACATTCACTCAATTTCAAGTCTGCCGAACAAGGACTTAATAAGGAGCAAAAAGGGTTATCTTGTGAAAAGATGCCCTTACAAAGGATGTTTGGCTGTTGTTGACAGATTAACCGATCATTTAGTTAGAAAGCACAAAGTAGCTAGAAAGTCATATCAAATCAAAAGACTCACGATGAGAGCCGAAGCTATTCCCTCGACATTGGATGTTTCTGGGAGAAAAAGACAAAACGTTAAAAAACACATCAAAAAAGAGGATAAAATTCAGAATATAGAAATAAGCTCGGAGGACGAGCCCGTCAAAGTTAAGAAAGAACAGATCACAGTGAACATTAAGTTAGAAAAGAAGAACATTTTAGAAAAGAAGGACATTATTGAAATAAGCTCAGAGGAGAAAAGTTGTGAAGAGGATAGTTCAGAGGAGAATCGTTGTGAAGAGAATAGTTCAGAGAAGAATAGTTGTGAAGAGAATAGTTCAGAAGAGAATAGTTCAGAAGAGAATAGTTCAGAAGAGAGTAGTTCAGAAGACAATAGTTCAGGAAGCTCAATGATAATAACTGATGATAGTGATGAAGAATCAGCTGAACAGGAGGAAAAAAAAGAGTATTATTTTGAGAATGAAGAGATAAAAGAGTTCATCAAGTATTTACAACGGCCACCTTATCTGAAGGCAAGAAAAGACGCATTGCAACATGCGTGCCAGGTGTGGTTTGTATGGGGTGATCTATCAAAGGAAAGAAAGATGAAGGAACTTATCAATCTGGACAAACTGAATGATTGGCTTAATGAATTTCTAAAACATCATGCTCCAGGAACTGCACGTTCATATTTAAGTTCGATTGGATTGTTTGTAGGGCATCTGGTCAGGCAGGGATTTCTAAGGAAGAAAGTTGGGAAAGCCCTAAGATTCAAGGAAGACATCAAGCTACTCAGCAAGCAGATTCGGAAAAAAATCCAAACCAGAAAGACTAAGCTGGCTGTGGAGGAAATAGGTAAGTGTAACGTTAATGTCTACATGAAACTACAAACAGTATTCAAAACGATATATCCACATAATACACACAGTTCAAACACACACATACACACTAATACACGCACATACTCTCTTTCTCTCTCTCTCTCTCTCACACACACACACACACACACACACACACACACACACACACACACACACACATGTATGCACATACTCGTAAAAACATGTTTGTGTGTGTGTATATGTGTCTGTGTATATGTAGTTTTGTATGTGATTGTGTATGTATATGTGTGTTTGTATATATTTATGTGTGTATTGGTGTGCTAAATGTTTGTATATGTGTAAATCTGTATGTGTCAATATG